TTTGAATATTTTTGAAAGTCCATTAAATCAGCCTGCCATAAATCATCTAGCCCTTTAACAATTGTACATCGACGAGGAAAATTCCTTCTCGCAGTCTTATGAAGTTCGTCAACTATGTCCTTTTTACTCATTTTTATTTGGCTTTGCGCTGATCAAGTGATCTATTTCAGCTTTTGAATAGAATAAAGTTGATAACTGGTTTGAATTTGCTTTTTCTAGATTTTTTAAATAAATTTTTACATTACTATAGATTTTGTTCATTTCATTTCTCAAATCTTGTGCAGTTTTATCTAAATATGCTTTATTTACTGCCTCATCATCGTTCACTGGAGTTGCAAGTCCTTTCAATTTTGATGATTTCAGGTCGTAATGACCCGTATCTGATTTAACAAGAGTATCGTTTAAGGTATCAATGTATTCTTCCAATCGTAAACGTTTATGAACGTGATGACCAAATTTGTCTATATTCATTGCAGTGTTCTTCGTTTGTTTACAGAAAGCCAACTGCCTGATTTTTCCGTAATATATCTTACTTATATTTTTTATTAATGAGACCTGCTTCATATAATTCCTCAATGATGGATATAATCTCATTATCTAAGCCAGTATTGCCTGCGTCGCGTGATGCATATAATAATTTTAATCGTTCCACTAATTCATTTGGGTTGTCCCAATATATAAAGTCAGTATTATTTTTAAGTTTTTTTAAGAGTTTCACGCCTTTCCCTTGTGTAAGGCTTTCTTGACTTGTAGTATTATTTCTGGAGAACTTAAATAATGGCTTGATGATCTTCATATATTTGAAACCTTTATTGCTGTTGATTGGTTTGGATGGATTATAGTTACGCCTGTGTGCATTAGTCTTGATTAATAATGATTTATAATTTTGCAAATCCTCCTCGGTAACCACATCTAAATTAGGTTTCTTTTTGAATAATAATTCTGTTAATCCAAGAGTTTTGTTGAAACTTTGATTTCCAATATCTAAAATATTGCCATCGTCATTTACGCGGGTTTTGCCGAGCATGAGTTTTCCTCGTTCATGTCTTACTCCAAACGGTATATCAGGCATTACTTCCGATGATGTAGACCATGACAATGAGTAGTTTTTAGCACTTGGTGAAGATGACAAGGATTTAAACGAATTTGCGCTTACATTATGATCTTCAATAGATGGTGTAGTGAGTGTTCTATCCGAGAAAGCATTATCATTGTCTTCGGATTCTTCACTATTTGCTTGATCAGAATCGTCACGTGAAAAGAAATTGGTTTCACTGTCATCATTTTTATTTTTTTTCAATATGGGTTCAAAATCTCTTTCTATTTTATGTTGATTTACATCACTTTTATTTGCAATCATATTGAGCGGTTCAACAATAGGTTTAAATATTGTCTCCAATGCCGTATTATTCGAAATTTTTGCATCTTTGATTAATTCAAGTTTTCTTTTTACAGCTTCTGCTGACTTCACAATTTGTTGTTTTAAATCTTTTTCCATCTTTGTGGTTTGCTTTGTTCCAAATCCGATAAGAAAATGATTGAATAATATAACTACAATCTGTTATGTATGTTAATCTAAGATTATGAATGTATCAAATGCCATCCTGTAACATCCCTTATTTTTTTCACAGTCCTTATTGATTACAAGATAACTAAAAGGCTTATCCCAAACAGCTGAGCACATTTCGCGAAATTGGGACCATGACATATCAGATCCCACGTGTTCTTCATAAACGTGTTTCAAATTGATATCGTCTTGTTTGAATAATATTATTAGGTTTGAATTATCCCGTATGAGTTGTTTAGGTATTTTAGTATATGTTTGATTTATATAAAAACAATCAATGTTCTTATGACGTCCCATGGCGAAGTAATCACGAATATTATTTTGATTTTCACATGCAACATCATCGAATATAAAAACGGAGTTTGGTAGAGCTTCGTGTGGGCTCAAAATTTCGTTGTTATTACTGTATTTGTTAAATGCTGTATTGGCCACCATGTTTAAAACTTTTTCTAAGAATATGTACTTAGGTTGATATAAAGATTTTGAATACACATAGATATTACAAAAGCGTGGACCATTTTCATGTAATAATAAACTTATTACTAGGTTGGTTTTTCCACAGTTGGATGGACCGCAAACAAGACAACGTATTGTATTTGGTAATAGGTTACCATGTCGTTTGGTTTCGTTAATAGACGGAGGACATATACAGTTCAACTTCAACGATTCTTTCTGTTTTACAAATTTCATTATAGCTTTTGATCTTGATTGTAGCGTGGTTTTCAACAAAATGAGCTCAACATTTATCACTTTAACATTTAAACGTTTGGTTTTTATTTGAGGAATGAACAAGCAGCATTTAACCACGTTAGAAATCACGAACGGCAGTAAGTGAGAATGCCACGGTACCTCATTGGTTATTGGGGATTCTAATTAACTTTTATCTCTATATCACGAAACCAAAAAAGGTGAATTAGAAGCCTCCAATCGCTTGTGATTGGGGGATTTTAATTCGCTTTTTTGGTTTTGTGATATAGAGATAAAAGTGAATTAGAATTCCCAATAACTACCTACTTACAGTTGGAGATGGTTTTCTCCGTGGAAGCGTGTAAGAAGGCGTTGTACGATACAAAATAATTTAAGACAGACACTCTAAAACTCATTATCTTAACACAAAAGGCAATTCCCACTTTGTATGGGAATTTGGCTATTACTATACAATGCAATAAGTTTAAACTACGCACAACCTTTGAATCATTATTATTTTTTTATCAGTATCCCTTAAAACAGTTAAAAACTTATGTTTTTATTTAGTTTTAAGCATTTAACTGCTAGATGTTTAAATCTAAAGAAAAGTTTACTAGAAAGAGTTTTGTTTTTTTCTAGTAAACTTTTCTTTACTTACAGTTAAAAACTTATGAAAACCGCGATGAAAAAAAGTAATATAAGTACAAATAAGTCATTTTCGCAACGATCTATAATATTCTAAGTCATTATAATATTATCAATATGATGTCTATTAAATTAAATAAAATCCGAATTAGACATTTCTTCTTTAAATATGACTCAAAAAAATTATATTGTGCAATATGGCGTACGACGTCACATGCATAATACCAAATGTCTAAACGAAAAAACGCAGTGTTCTTTTGACAGCTTGGGTCCGTTCCAAACCTGCGCTCCAAGAGCAACTTTTCACTCTGACGTTTCAATTTTGACATAAATGTATGAAACTTCTATCGAATTTGACATTTGTTGCACCTGGAGTGTAGGTTTAGAACGCAACCCTAGTCTGCAAATGTCATCTTAGACCCGGCCAATCCTAGCCGTTTTCGCTGAAATGACGTAATGCTTACTTAAATTCGGCCAATCATAGCCGTTTTCACTGACATGACGTGATGCTAATTTAAATTCGACCAATTACAGCGTTTTCGATCATGTGACATTAGATAACTAAGTTGTTTGTCAAGTATTTTTTCCACGCGAATCCTAGTTTGGGCATTGCCCTTTAATAAGTATGTATGACTATATGATTTTGTTGAATTTAACTATTATACTATTTTTTGTCCAAACCGTTTAAGTTAGTGTTGCCCAAATTCAGTCTTGGTCTTGTTCTTGCATTTTTGCAAGACGATTAGGAATTCTATGAGAAGAAAAAAAATGTATTAAAGAATATGAAAAACTGGACTTATGCGCATTACGACCAATACCATAAACATACATAGCAAATAAATGATAAATCGTAAAACTCTTTTATTAAATTTCATATAAGTTGAGGGTTACCCACCAATCCGCACTGGGCCCGCGTGGTGGGTCATGGCCCAATCTCGCTATTCCATCCATAGGGAAGGCCTGTGCCCCAGCAGTGGGGACATTAATAGGCTGATGATGATGGTGATGAAGTTGAGGGTTCAATCTCTTTCTAGACAGATATTGTTCTTTAAAATACAGTCAAGTTATTGTAATTAATTTGTTTTTTACATGTTTTAGCACATGTAAGCTTATAAAGCGTAAATGTTTATTAAGAAACGACATATAGCTCAGTTGATAACCATGTGGCAGTTGATTTTTCGAATTTCTTATCAAATCTTCAGACATTTATTAACCTGATTGGTCTTTACTAGTGCTATGTTAATTCAAGCTCACAATGGTCCATTTCTAATACGTTTTTCTAAGATATAATGTAAACTTTAATAAATAGCAATAGTCTAATAGGTAATTGCAAGACTTGCAAGACTCTTGCTGCAAAACCAACACCAAGACCAAGACCAGGTGTATTGGCGCAAGACCAAGACTGGCTAAGTCTCGTCTTGTTCTTGCATTTGGGCAACACTAGTTTAAGTTAATGGACCAGGAACACAATTTTATGTAGAAAAGAAGTCCTACAGAACAAACTTCTAAAGTATCAAAACTAATATTTGTATAGTATTTTGACGACCTCCGTGGCCGAGTGGTTTGTACGCCGGGTTTCATGGTGTCGCCGACTCGAGAGGTCCCGGGTTCGAATCCCGGTGGGGGCAGATGTTTGTGTGATGAATACGAGCATTTGTACTCCAGTCATGGATGTTTAATACGTATTTCATGATCTCGTAACCGAATTGCGGGTAGATGTTATTGGCAGACATGTCGGTCTACCCTCTGACGTCGTCTTTCATTGCGATCAACACCTCTACGACTGGTCACATTCTCACTAAAATACAGTGACCCTAGCACGAACCATTATCGAATTCAAATAGTTTGCAAACCGAAATGTCAATGTCAAATTTTGTATGGAAACTTGAACAGCAGCGGCACAAAGTACATAACGAGAACTAAAAATGAGTACACATTTGACAATGACATTTCAGACTCACAAACGATACGAATTCGACATTGGTTCGTGCTAGGGTAGGTACACTCTTTAGATTTTTGCGGTTTTTACACATACGTACTACCCAAGCTACTTTAATGTGACCATGAAAGTTTAAAACAATATATTAATATCTGTGTACAGTTGGAGATGGGTTTCCCCGTGGAAGCGTGTAAAAAGGCATTATACTACACGAACAACTCGAGTATGGAGGCCGCCTCCAATTGGCTCATGGAACACATGAACGACTGGGACTTTGCCAACAAATTCGATCCGCCCGGCTCACAGCCTGCCGGTAAGTATTCGACGACCTCCGTGGCCGAGTGGTTTCATGGCGTCGCCGACTCCAGAGGTCCCGGGTTTGAATCCCGGTGGGGGCAGATGTTTGTGTGATGAATATGAGCATTTGTACTCCAGTCATGGATGTTTAATATGTATTTATATATGAATACTAGCTTACCCAGCGAACTTTGTATCGCCATAAAAATATGGGTGGTAAATGGGTGATTTTTTTTATTGTATATATTTTTAATACCACATTATAAATAAAATTTAGGGGTGGACACCTTATCACTTAGGGTATGAAAAATAGATAGTAGCCGATTCTCAGACCTATTGAATATGCATATAAAATTTTAATAAAAATCGGTCTCGCCATTTTGGAGGAGTATGGTAACTAACATTGTGACTCGAGAATTTTATATATAAGATAATCTTTTTGTACACAAAGAAAGAACTTTTGCATCAATATTTTTAAATCAAATTAAGGCTTAATCCTGTTTAACACATCATTCCATCTTTGTCAATAGGGAATATTATAAAAATAAACATACGAAAGACTTATTTAACTTAACTTTGATGCAGTATTTCAACTTAAAACAAAAACAGTAACAGAAACTACATCTTGCTGCATTGATTTAGCTTTCACAGATTCTACTGTATTTTTAGAGGAAATTTTAATCTGTGATTATGGACTATCTGACCTGCTGTCAATAATAAATTAAAACAAAACAGTAAAAACCATATTTCTTATAGAAAGTAATCGACTAATAACAAAAGACAGTTAAAAATTAACATAAAAGATGCACAGAAAAATTAAAATAATACGTATAAGTCACTGCTACGATCGATACACAAATGAAACCAAAAAAAATGTCCGAAAACTGTATATTGAGGAAGACAGGAGACCGGCTTCCTTCTCACAGTAATGGCCGTTGTTGGCGGGAGATCACAACACGTGTTTATTTATATGAGATCACTTAATTAACTAATATTTAAAACTGCCTTTATCAGTTATTAATAAAATGTGAAAAAATAATTATTGCACTGGAAATTAATAATAAATTCACGATGAGAGTAAAAAAAAGAAATTATTAAAAATAAAAATCGCGATGGTAAAATAGGGGTTGATTTTAAAGGGTTGAAAATTCAGGGTTGTATGTATTTACTAATGCTGTATCATAAAAAAATTACAAAAAAAATTATATCTAAAATTTAAAAAAAAAATTAGGTGTGGAATACCCTTAACATTTAGGGGGATGAAAAATAGATTACATCCGATTCTCAGACCTACTGAATATGCATATAAAATTTCACGAAAATCGGTCGAGCCGTTTCGGAGGAGTTTAACCACAAACACCGCGACTCGAGAATTTTATATATTAGATAATAATAAATATTCTTTATTGCACACAACAAAGGACACAAGACATAAACAAAATACTTATATGTGTACAATGTATGTGTTCTATCCGTTACCCTAGTATCCCATAACACAAGCCTTACAGTGCTTACTTTGGGGCTAGCCTAATTGGTGTGAATGTTGGAAATATTTATTATTTATATAAATATATAAATAATAATTTATATTATTATTTATATATTATAATATTCATACTAATATTATAAGGACAATGGCGAAATATTTGTTGCAGTAAATCTTTAGCGTCTATAGATGTACCACTATCAGAAATGTTAATAAAATAATCTCAAAAGATTTATTAACCAATTGAGGAGAGTTGTCTAAGTCTGGAATTAAAAACATAAAAAAGGGAAACACAATTCACTAATTTTTTATTTTTTTTTATTGTGGCTTGGCATGGCTTTTGAGCCATTTATTTTAAGTGATTTTAGTGATTAAATCATGTTCAAGTATGTTGTTCGTATATTTTGCATCGCTTTACGCTAAAACTATATCTAACTATCTATCAAAAATATCGGGAGTCATTATTTTCAATATTATACTGAAACCACAATAAATAATCTCCACAATACAAAGAGAGTATGGCGCCAATTCTAACGCAAAAAACTATAACTGTCACTGTCATTCTTGTCATCGAATTGTTGTTGTTATCCGTTGCTTGTGCATGCGTATTGCAAAGATTTAAATTGGCGTAGTATGTTTTTTCTGAGATATGTTTTTTTTTTTTATGTGACTTGGACTGCTTTTGCACTTTCGAAATCTTCCCCTGCGACTGTTGAGTAATGCTTGCCTAAGACATTTTGGACTAGTAGAATTAGAAGTAACTGATATTTTGGACGACTTCTTGCTGTGGATTTTGGACAAGATTCAGTCCCATTCTGTGGATGTATATATGAGACGAAAGACTGCCAGTCCCATAGTCTCGTCTAAGGTGAATGAACTTTTGTATCGCTTCTCGTTGGCCGTACTTTAGTTACAATAAATTTTGTTGTTTCCCCTGCGACCGGTAGTATAGTAGCAGACGAGTCGATTTTGCATCAGATAATGGGCGAATTTTGTCATATCTCACACTAGTTTGACAAATGCGAGGCGATCAATGTGTGAAGATTTCTTTAAACGGGTAGCGTAATTGAATAACTTGTGCTTGCATAGCTGACTTCAAAATTTATAATTGTTCACACTGTTATGTAAACAACAATAGTGATTTGTTTCTATACCTGAATACCTACAATTGGCCAACTGTTTCTATGCATACATTTTTAACTATGTTTGTGAGCTGTTGGTTTTCAAAAAATAAGTGAATATTATGTATGTTATCAACAAATTTGCGCTCGGTTTGAGGATATTTTGCAAACAATATAAATCAATATTTTTGTATGGGAGGTGTAGTACGTTTACCGTTTATAATTGAGGCCATGAGAGGCCAGAGGGAGATAGTGGCCTAATTCATTTTTTAGAATATTGAGTTAATGATTTTTTCCAGTTCAAATTGATCATTTTGATAGAGTGGTCTAAAAGTGATACAATAATATTCACTAGATGGCAGCATAATCACTGTTACGGTTTTTAGTCTGTGATCTAAATTTGAGGTGCCATACTGGCCTAAGTAAGATAGGCCACTATGATTAAAAAAATAAGCTAGGCCACTATGGTTCTCATGGCCTCAATTGTTCCCACTATTCTACTCAAAATTCACGGTGTATAGAAGATTCACTTTAATATTTTTTTTTATTCACCCAGCGACCGGTGGTATAGTCGCGGACGAATCGAGCGTGCAACAGATAATGGGCATGGGCTTCACCCGGGAGCAGGCGGCGCGGGCCCTGTCCTGCACCGGCGGGGACGTCGGCAGGGCCGTCGACTGGATCTTCAGCCACGCGCACGAACTGGACGCGTCTGAGCCCGGCCCTGGCGTTGGCGCCGAGCCCGCGCGACCGGACCGCACGCTCGGCTGCAGGGACGGACCTGAGAGTGAGTAAACAAAAAAATATTTAAACATAAAATAAAACCGACGTCAAAATCGAAAATGAAACTAAAAAGTAAAAAATAATACTTATCTGGTTCATGATTTGCAAGTCGAGCGGGTCAAAATTAAAAGACGTATTATTACCGATCAGAAACGAAAATCTATTTAATGTTTCAATCTTGACGCCGCCCGACTTCCAAATCATGAGCCAGATATTATTTTTTACTTTTAGTTCCATTTTCGATTTTGAGGTCGGTTTTATTTTTTGTTTAAAAACTTTTTATTTTATCCATTTTAGTGAAAATTACGTCATCCCAGAAAACAATAACACAATTGACTTAGAAATCGGTGAACATGCATAAAAAAACATCGTGCGTGACTTTAAAATTTATTATTATATTAATTTATAGTCGGTAGAATGCGCTTAATGATGCCACATCGCGGCGCAATTGTAGAGACTCGAGTTTGTTAGTTACCTCTCCATCGCCAATGATGCGGGCAGCGCGCCGCTGCAACCTATCCAAGGCATCGAGTAATAATAAATAATAGAAATGATGTGGTGTCGTGGGACACCAGGTAGGAACGAAGTTCCTTCGCCTAATGCGCATTTAACGGTTTTATTCCACGCACTTTTTTCTTACGGTTTTACTATCACATTTTTTTCAGTTCGGTCAGCTAGTGTTCGTAAATATTGCTAGGCAGGACTGGTCCACAGTTTATAATAAACTACAATGTCACAATAATCCAGTAATGCAGCCCCGTCGCTCTGCCACCCCCCACGACAATAATCCAGTGTTGGTATAATGCCACAATAATTTGGGGTTGCACCCCCGTCGCTCTGTCACCCCCTGTTAAGTACTGACATTGTTATCATGTCTAGCTTAAGTTTACAGCAGATGACAGGCGTTCCTGGTCCACAGTTCGGTATAACGTCACAAATATCCAGATTTCGTGTAATGTCACAATATTCCAGTGCTGCACCCTCGTAGCTGTGCCACCCCCTACATACGCACCTTATTATCATGTCCCGCTAGCGTTCGTAAAGGATGCTAGGCAGGACTGGCCCACAGTTTAGAATAAACTACAATGTCACAATAATCCAGTGATGCACCCCCGTCGCTCTGCCACCTCCTCACAGGCGTTACTGGTCCACAGCTTGATATAACTTCACTAATATCCAGTGTTGGTGTAATATCACAATATTTCAGTGATGCACCCTCGTCGCTCTACCACCCCCTATAACTTCACACATATTCAGTGTTGATGTAATATCACAATATTTCAGTGATGCACCCTTGTCGCTCTACCACCCCCTATAACTTCACACATATTCACTGTTGGTGTAGTATCACAATATTTCAGTGATGCACCCTCGTCGCTCTACCACTCCCTATAACTTCACACATATTCAGTGTTGGTGTAATATCACAATATTTCAGTGATGCACCCCCGGCGCTCTGCCACCTCCTGATAAGTACTCACCTTGTAATCATAACCATGTCTCACAGGCGTTACTGGTCCACAGCTTGATATAACTTCACAAATATCCAGTGTTGGTTTAATATCACAATATTTCAGTAATGCACCCTCGTCGCTCTACCACCCCCTATAACTTCACACATATTCAGTGTTGGTGTAATATCACAATATTTCAGTGATGCACCCTCGTCGCTCTACCACCCCCTATAACTTCACACATATTCAGTGTTGGTGTAATATCACAATATTTCGTGATGCACCCTTGTCGCTCTACCACCCCCTATAACTTCACACATATTCACTGTTGGTGTAGTATCACAATATTTCAGTGATGCACCCTCGTCGCTCTACCACTTCCTTTAACTTCACACATTACGGGAGTATAATACGCCGCACAGCTTACAATAGCTTACTATAGCAAAAAGTGTCGTGACAACTTTTCGTAAGAATTTTTTCCGTCTAGCCCCCTTTCACAGCGCGCGATAAGGAACTTCGTTCCAACAATAAATATTTCCAACACTCACACCAATTAGCCTAGCCCCAAAGTAAGCACTAAGGCTTGTGTTATGGGATACTAGGGTAACGGATAGAATACATATAAAGTACATATATAAGTATATTTATATAGAAATACATATTAAACATCCATGACTGGAGTACAAATGCTCGTATTCATCACACAAACATCTGCCCCCACCGGGATTCGAACTCGGGACCTCTCGAGTTGGCGACACCATGAAACCCGGCGTACAAACCACTCAACCACGGAGGTCGTCGTCGAGTAAGTACTTAGCGAAGCCATCCCAGAGGTGCGAGCAATATTCCACGCAGGACCGCACTTGCGTTATAAATGATATCATGGTATAAATCGACTTTGGGTACAGCGCTGACGTCACGACTAGTGACTCCATGTATGTGTCGTAGGATCATTTGATAAATCGACGACCTCCGTGGCCGAGTGGTTTGTACGCCGGGTTTCATGGTGTAGCCGACTCGTGAGGTCCCGGGTTTGAATCCCGGTGGGGGCAGATGTTTGTGTGATGAATAATAATATGTATTTATATTTCAATATACTTATATACGTACAGTATATGTATTCTATCCGTTACCCCTAGTATCCCATAAGACAAACAGTGCTTACTTTGGGGCTAGGCTAATTGGTGTTAGCGTTGGAAATATTATTTATTTATCGAATAATATGCGCGAAAATCCTAGGGATTTTGCAATAACGCGGATAATTAAACGATGGACATTTCCCAATCTTGAAAACGCGTGTCTCTTCAGTAACATTGTGAAAATAACCGTTGGCTTACTATAATTAGTATTCTTGGGTTTTTGGATTCACATCACACTCGCACTCATTCACATGACGGGCAAGCCGAGCGACGCACCGAAGTGCCAGATAAAAAAAATTACAGTAAAATTGATCAATCTCATTTCCATTGTCTAATTTATCCGCGTTTTCGCAAAATCTCTAAGGTTTTCGAGAAAATTCTATTTATCATCCTACGACATATACAGTGCGAGTCAGTTCTCGGACGCCAATGCTGACCGAACTAGTAGCTGACCCTGTGTAAATCCTAACTAAATTATCAATTATATTATAAATGCGAAAGTGTTTGTTTGTAACATCTTCACGCATAAACCGCTGAATCGATTTTGCAAAATTTTGATAATAGAGATTGGTGGAACCATAGAGACTTTTATAGTCTACTTTTGTCATGACAATAAGGGGTGGAAATAGTGAATGAAATTTTGTATGACAAACCAAGCAGACAAAGTCGCGGGCATACACAGGGTACTATACTAGTCTGACATATTTCATATGAAACGTGCATTTTGTTCACAGAGTACAAGCTGATCGCATTCATATCGCACATGGGCACATCGACGATGGTTGGACACTACGTGTGCCATGTACTGCACGAAGGCCGATGGGTCATATTCAACGACAATAAGGTATTTTGGCGTAACTAGTGACACGCACACTTGCTAAAAAAGTCTTGAAGATTTAGATAGAAAAATAGCTTAGGTACTAATTTCAGCAACATAATTTATTACTCAGCTAGATTATTTGAAAGGATACCTACGAATTATCAAAAGACTAACTGCAGGACGTATTAAAGTCGAATTTCTGTATTTTTTATGCTGACAAAAGGTCTGATTTTTTGAGAGACCAAGTGCACTAAGTTACGTGCAAAGTGGTAGTGTAACTGGCATTTGCTAGTACTGTATCTGAATTTATCACCCAATTCTTGTAAATGGAAAATTTAGGAAATTGTTTTACTCCAAGTTTAAATAATCAACCTCTAGAAAGAGGCAAGGATAATCTGGTTTCATTGCCTTAGCAACAGTTTAGCTTAGCTTTTCTTTTGGAGTGGAGCTTCTTTTTGGAGGGGTGTTAATGGAAAAGATGAAACGGAAATGCGTCACGAGTGTCACACGAATATGTATGTGTATACGTGTGTGTTTGGGATTCAAGCGCATCTCTTGACGAGCATGAAAGTTGGAGCGTAACTATACATTCATATACACCGTGTTCCTGAGGATATACATTAACTTTGAATAATACTTCTATACCTCTTGTCAAACATATCGTACAAGGAAAGTAGTAGTTTAAATAGCATAGTTTTTAAGTTATTGGTAATTTAAGTTTAACCAACTTAATTGTGTTGTGCATTGAGAAAGAGTCTTTATCTGTGAGATGTTGCCACTTTGTGCAACCAAAACTATCAAACTATCAACTCTTTGTCAATGGTCATTAAGTCATAGTTTCAAAAGTCAAAATTTTAAATAACATTGTTGACGTCAAGAAAAGTTTCAAAAAGTTTATGTGAACATGTGAACCAGTTTCAAATGCGACGTTGCCAGCTCAGGTAGAGTAATTCATATTAGATAAATTACATCTAAGCATTTAGTTTGTATGAAAATAAAAAATGTTAAAGAAATTGGAATTCATAAAAGTGTCCATAGTAAAAAATGATCAATTTAATAGTCTGAATAACATGCCAAAGATAGTGTATAACCTCAGGAACACAGTGTATATGAGTGATGCGTACGCTGCTCAATTCCCCTATGCCCTATGCACCGCCTAATGTTAGGATATTTAAGAAAAGAAGTTTCACTTCATGTAACGCGTCGTAAAGATTTTCTGCCCCCACCCCCCATAAACGTTACGTAACACCCACCTGATCATTTTTTACCCACATGTCACATGTTGATATATGTTCATGCAACTTGAGAATCTAGTTACTATATTACTTATTTATTACTTTAATATTTATAATACCACAGAAAAGTAACACTTCTACGCTTGAGCGGCACACTATTCTTTCAAAATTTTTGAAAGCTGCTTATATTTAAAGATAAGGACAAACAATTTCACATAAAAATAAATTAATTAATGTCTTTTTTTCTCCATTAGACCAATTAAAGTTGAATTTATTTTTAATGGTTTTGAATTTACCGCCAAAACGCTCGGTTCGAGGTCGTCTACAGTGTGACATCAACTTTGTGTATGCTATGTAATCATCTGAAGGTCAAATTATTAAGTTTGGGATAAATTTATATGTATAGTATAATGGGCCCAATTCTGGCGTGCCAACTTATATCTAAAACTAACTAAAATTAGATATAGAGTTGTCAAATTCAATTTGGTATTCAGTAATGACACTCTATCTCTAAATTTAAAATTGACGTTGCTAAGTTATTCAACTTAGATTTAGATGATTAAATGGTATTCTGAAACGCGTTCTAAATGTCATATTTTCTCTAAAATTAGAAATGTCACACTAAATTTAAGAAGGACCTACGGAGGTCCTCCCTAAATTTAAATGTGAATAATTGGGGCCAAATATCACGTAAATGATTGCTGTACTTAAGTTTTGAACTTGTTGTTAAGGTTGGATATGGGTTTATTTCGTTAAAAAAATACATAAATTTTATACAATAATGAACAACGATGGTGATAATAATATATTAGCTAGATCTTTTATTTTTTTTAAAAAGGTAAGTGGATCTATGTTACGATGCGGATTTATTATAAGCCTATTAATGTGTCCTGCTAATAATAAATCCGAGCTGCAGCGAGCAGCAACATAGGAACCCGATTTAATTTATTTTGGGTTGGTCACCCATCCTAAGATCGGCCATTGTGAAAATTGCTTAACATTCACGATCGCAGAACGAAAGCGTTACACTTGCGCTATTGTGGTCTTTCGTAGGTAATGTACACGTATATCTTGTATAAAATACTAAATAATTTAAGGTAAAATCTTATATAACATAAATAAAAATCCACTTCATATAAAAACAACCTAAAAAGGTAAAAAATCTATGTACTAATTCTATAAGTAATACTTACAGATCCTACTTACATCTAAAGTACATAGTCAAATAATTAACAAGATAATAGAGGTATGGTGTCAGTGATTTGCATTCCATCCAAATGTTGTTTTGACTTTAAATGTAGGTACTTTAGACTTTAATGTATTATTTGTTCCTTTGTTTTATGTGGTTTTGTTTCTATGAAGCAGTTTTAATACCTATTAGTTAGAAATGTTTTTATTTCCAACTTTTTATAAGCTAATCATATTTCTTAAAATAACCAAACACGAAATAAGTACCTACTGTTTGTAATTGAAAAGTTTGTTTTTATATATCCTAAACTGGGCATCTTCACCAAATGAATAATTGGGATGATCTCGCCAAAAACTGATAGAAACAAAAAAGATAAAAATAGGTTACGCATCTCGGATTATACAATAAATGAGAATAAAATCTTTACAAAACAGCCGAAGGGATAATTTTACAACCTCTTACCGAAACCGAAATTATAGGTATTAGATAGATACGCTGGATTGGGAATTTACGATGCGAGAAATTTTCAAGGATGGTTCACGTTAGACCCTGTCGGCCGTAGCAGAGTTAACTAATCATCATCATCATCATCATCATCATCAGCCTATTAATGTCCCCATTGCTGGGGCACAGGCCTTCCCTATGGATGAAATAGAGAGATTAGACCATGACCCACCACGCTGGCCCAGTGCGGATTGGCGGGTGCTAACGACTGCAGATGCAGCCGGGAGAACGAGGAACTCGACATAGAAGATGTTTGGTCACCCATCCAATGACCGACCACTGCGAAAGTTGCTTAACTTCAACGATCGCAGCCGAACGAGCTAATCGTCTGTGCCATCGAACTTCTCTAGTTAACTAATATTAAATAATTTATTTTACATGGATTATGTCCATAATCCATGTAAACTATAATATTCACGCTATTTATATGCTATATGCTCGGTTGTCATGCAGTAACCGCCTGACAACCGAGCAACAAATGAAACAACACTCGGAAAAAACTTGGTCCCGCCTCGGCTCGGCTACGGCCCATTGCATGAATACAGCGCCGGCGCGGTGCCGCCGGGCAATCGTAGTGATACATCAGACAAAACAATAAACGTTTTTGCTCGGACGAGGACACTTACCTTATTTACTTCATCTGAATGATTAGACTGCATCACGGCGCAATGGTACCTACCTAATTGCTCGTTCGATGCACTTCTTTGTAATTTTTTTTCGTCACATCGTTTAGCCCAAGTAAATACTTGGCTTTTTCAAAGAAAAAATATGATTCCTTAAGTTCTCCCCGCAGATTACATTTCTTCAAGTTCTTATTTTTCCCCAAAATAAGGATAAACACTCCCAATCTAGAAACCCTAAGTACCACAGAGTAGGCAAGTATTCACTCTTTAATATTATTGATTCATAATTTCTCATACAGTAAAATAACAAAGTTATGTTAAGTTTTCATATTTCAAAGATGATGAAGAACAACAAAGATTTACTTAAATAAAATAAAAAAATAAGTCAAAATCACTGAATAATAAGTAATTATTGCTAATTTGAGTAAACCGATAATTACCGGTTCAATGCTTTTACATAATCTGTGAATTCAATTTAGATGCTCGTTTACAGCTGTCAACTGTTCTCATAATTTAGTTAGTTAGCAATTTCAGAATACCAATTCTCTAACCCTAAACTAAAATTAGCACTCTAATTTTAAGTTTAGGTTTAGAGAATGTAACGCCAGAATTGGTCCCATTACTTACACAAAATGTTTCGAAACTCTGAAGCACATAAATCAGGATTAATACCGAAGAAATTTGCAAAGTATTATACTATAAATTTATCCCGAATGTAAAACAAGTAAATAATTTGACCTTCAGATGATTACATAGCATACACAAAGTTGACGACACACAGTAGACATCATCGGACCGAGCGTTTTAGCGGTAAATTCAAAACCATTAAAAATTAATTCAACTTTCAATTGGTCTAATGGAGAAAAAAAGATAAAAAAAAATGTTTTTATTTTTCCATGAAATAGTTGATGTCACACTGTAGACGACCTCGAACCGAGCGTTTTGGCGGTAAATTCAAAACCATTAAAAATAAATTCAACTTTTATTGGTCTAAAGAAAAAAAGACATTAATTAATTTATTTTTATGTGAAATTGTTTGTCCTTATCTTGAAATATAAGCAGTTTTCAAAAATTTTGAAAATACCCTATCGGCTGCATGTTATATTAAAAAATGTGGCCATTTCTTAATCATTGAATGATAATCAGCAAATTCATTGAGATAAAATTATGTATATTGTTTTTGTTCCAGGTTGCTCTCTCAGAAAACCCTCCAAAAGATCTTGGCTACTTATATTTATATGAAAGGCTGTGATGTTAAAATTATGCATAATGATTGTACCAAAAATCACTGGCACACATTTACTATATGGGATAAGAATTTATTGTTAGACTGCATTGTGTGTAATATTTTATATGAAAGGCATTACATTTTAGGCAATATTTATTTTATAGAAACAAATTTTTAGACATTTCAATTAGATTTTAAAAATCATCTCTGTTAAATAATTACTTTGAGTAAGTAAGCATTTTCCTCTATTGCAATTATTTTTGTGAAGTTAAAAAAGAATAAATTTAATTATTTGTCACAAGTCAAGTTCCTGGTAAAATGTGAACTATGAATTTAATGTAGGTTTAATAATATGCATATGGAACTATTGCTTAATTTTTCCACTTATGAAATAGTTGAGATCTAACAGTCTGTGTTTGTTATTACTATGTAGTGACACTCTTTTGCTTTCCTCAAATTTTGTTAGATATAAATTAACACAAACAACGAAAAATAAATTATTACAAATATATACACATACTTCTTTTTATTTCTTTGAAATTTTCTAAAATTTTTCTCAGCTTCTGGATTTACAAAGAGGTGGTATAATAGGTATTTTATATTTTTAGACTATCAACTAAACATAATTATCGTTTAAAACGATCGTTTTGGTCAGGAATCCTTTTCATAAATATAGTTTTTTCATCAAAGTAAGTATTAAATTTCTTGTAATCTTTTCTTTTTCTGGGATCTTTCTTGCAATAGGCAGGTGTCAAATTTATCATTAACCCTGAAAAGAATGATAGAAGAATTATAAAAAGCAAATATAATTCCATTAACATACAAGTTACACAAAGATATTTTAAAAGTTTTGGCAACTGGTATACACTGTACCCAAGCAGATACAGGTTTGAAAATAAATTGAACTAACTAATTTATAATTTGATTAAGACAAAACAACAAGTCTTCATTAGTGCTATCAGTCTTGTTTTGTTGAACTATGCAACAATTTCTTATATAAACGAATGGCAAATATTTTATAATGAACAGAATGTACCTGCTTTTTGCGCCATGGACACCATTTTTCCAATTTTTTTCTGTTGACGGCGACATAATCCTGTTACTCGTCGTGGTAGCATGCAGCCGTCTGATCTTACAAATTGGCTGAGAATCAGAACATCGGTGTGTTTCACATCAAGCTCCAGAGCACACAAATAACAAGGTTTCGTCACATCACTTTCTTCAGAAGCTATCGCAGACGGAGTTAATTTCTCTGCACGTACAAGTAGCTCAGCTCGGGGTGATGGCAGCGTAACTCCTTCAATAACCAATTTGGAACCATCCTTTTGTTCTCTTACTGCAAAACAAAGTCGAAATTGTAACTCTCATTCCAATTCTTTGAGGTTATAATGAAAATAATAAATATTATAAACACACTTCAACTTTAAACGATACAAACTTTCTTTAATATTTAACTGTTTAGTGGTGGCAATAGCTCGAGCAGAGGAAGGAAAAATAGATTTCCTTACTAGAGAAAACCCATTACGAATTATCGTCGCCATGACTTCTAACATTTTTTTTTAAGATTTTCCCATTTCAGTGAAGGCAAAGGGAACAATAACACACAACCTAGTCTTTACTTTTATTCATCATCTTTTTTTTAAATTAGAATGTCGGTGTGACACATTCTAATCTTTCTTGGAGTGTTTGGCACGAAATGTATCGAGTTAGCTTTTTCGATAAGCTTCTGTGTGGTAGTCAACACTACAATAAAGTTCTCACGTCCACTTAATCGGAATAGCGTATATTTTAAAGATTCCACTAATTCTTCAGTTGTAACACAAAATTACACCAATTTTATTTCACAATATCCACTATGAATGAATTTAAGAATAATTAAAACAACCGTACACGATAAAATCCCACCAAAAACCCCTAAAATACAAATTGGGCACAGTTATGCCAGAAAACCATTTCGCCTTCCCCCCGAAACTTACGCAAATCCCCCAGAAATACAGGTTTTTAAAACAGACTTAGAATATAAATGTTACGCTCAAAGATAGAAAACGCTCAGTGAGCGGAAAAATAGCTCACAACGCGTTGTGGTCACAGTAAAACATCCACATGGCGAAATTCGTGTTATGGCTCTAATGAAAACGCGCACGACACGTTGTGGCAATCACAGAAAGACCAAATAGCGAAATTCGTGTCGTGGCTGACATGCTGTTCGATCTCAACGCGTTGTGGCCTCAGACCAAATAAAAAGTAAAGACGGAGTCTGCCGAACAAAAAAGTGAAGCCGATAAAACTACGCCTCGCCGTGTACATACACAGTTACACGCACACACATGCAACGAAACTACGCCTTGGCTTCCCAGCAGAGCTATCCCGGCGCGCGGAGCGTGACGTATTAATAAATAACAATATTTATTAGAAAATACCGAATTTTGTTTGAAACCAATCTTCCGAAAATAAAAAACAGGATGGAATCACATTTCATACTTAAGTAAACTTATAAACTGATATTTTCAATTAATCAAAATCAAATTGGAGGTTGTCGCTTGGAACACAAAACCTGAACCAAATGTTGCCATGATTATACGTTAGTTTTTACCTGTTGTTGGGTAACGTGAAATATAACATAACGTTACGTTACTTCATACATTAATAATATGTAGCATACTTTTATATTATTCGAATATTGTAATGCATGGATAAACAATTAAAAGAAACATCTTTATTATCTCATTTAATTATCTTTTGACGTGACAACGTCTTAAATTAGGTTGCGGCTGGGAGTCACTTATGAAAAAGTGTAACGCTCGGTAACGTTACGATGAGTCTCTCGTGTTAAGTTTAAGTTTACATGTACAATGTTTTAGTAAACAAAATATATTTCTATAGTTAAAATTTGTGCAATTCTTATTTTCATTCAATTCCTTGTTCCTATTGTGCAATTTAATTATATTCATATCAATAAATATTCTACCGAGAAAAAGACGTTGTCACGTAAAATCTTCGCCCGTAAAACCGACTTTACAGGCAACCATTTTTTTCTTTATGTATTCGAATAAAATTTTTGGGATGTAATACAAATTATATATTATACCTACGTATTTTTTAGGATAATCGAGGTCAAAATCTAAAAGAGAACTGGATTGCGCTCATTCGTAAGAGTAGAAATGAACCATTGTTTTGTGTATTCTGTAGCAAATTTCATTTACATTTTAATAATGGAAACTGTTTATTAAAATTGTAAATACTTTTCGTTTTATCGACATAAAATTGAGATGACTGATTGGTACGCGATTTTAAGTGACTTGTTGCTAGTGCTTGAAACTGTAAAATGAACAAAGCTATTCATCCGAGACTTGCCACTTGTAACTAAAGAAAAAAAAACAATCCCACTAAACGTTACCACATAAATCAAGGCACTTGGACTTCGCATTCGTTTTTATCACCACTTGAAATACGACCTTTTTTTCTATTCCGTGTTAGCGTGTCGAATCTTGCGCTCTGATGGTTTATGATATAGTGTAAAATAAAAGTGTGAGAGTATGGTATTTTATAATTTTAATTGGTAACTTATAATAAAATATACTAATAACCAAATAACCTGGAATTTAAATTTACAAATTTTAAAATATACCTCCCTTTACCCAACTAAACGACTTTTGTTTTATCTTTCCTGAGTTTACCGTAACGTAATTAAAATAAATTATAGACATGACGCATTGTGTACACACAGTTTTATAGAAAATTTTATGGAGAATCCAAATAAATATAGTTTGTGTAGGGTATTCTTACAAAATAACAGAGAAATCGGCAAAACAATGTATTCGTTCCCACTCAGGTGGAGGCCCCATAAAGGAGTCTGGCACTTGTAGGTGAGAACGGCGCATGACCTTTGCTCATAGTTCACGAGAGGTTGCATCTAGCGCTAGTGTACAACTAATCTGGAGAATAAGCCTACGATATTTTTTTCTAATATTTTATAACGTTAATAATAACGTTATGAATTTTTAAGAAATAACGTTATAACTATTTCTAATATTGGGGTACTATAAATGACTATGGCAACACTGGCTAATGCACACATACATAAAAAACTGGCTTCACTTTGTTGTTGGCAGAACTCCGTCTTTACTTTTTATTTGGTCTGAGGTTGTGGCAATGAAGAAAAGCCATGACGCGTTCTGAGCATTCATTGTTTTAACCATATCACGACGGACAGGTTGTAAGTTGATAGAGGACGTGCAGCACCCAGGAATGTTATGTAATGTTGTTATGAGCATTAATCCATCAGGTCTCTACCAGTTAGGAAACAAGGAAGGTACATTCGATAGACTTTATGCACTTAATAAGTTTACACTTTCTGAAACCAACTTTATTAACATTTGTGATGTGCCCTCAACTTCGTTATTAACACTTCGCTCAGCATCTATGTTATCATCTGGAAGTAAGCAAGGGTTTATAATGTGCCACTGCAAAAGATACTGTATTGATAAAAAGTGCAAGTGTCGCTCTAAGAATATAAAATGCAACTCAAATGCCACAGTAATTGTTCCTGTAAAAATAAATAGCAATCAAAACTTATTTTTCACAATTATAGTAATAATTTCTAATATAAGTAATTGATTTAAATGCATTGTTGTTGTTTATTCGTAATCAATAAACATTTATGTTTGTGTTAAATATTTTTATAACTTGAAGGAATTTTAAATTTTGTCATAAAAAATTAAAATCTCTAATTATTTCAAGTGAATTATAAGTACCTAATTTACAAATTATAAATATTTTGTGTTCAGTAATTTATTACTTAATACGTTGATTTTTTTAAATATAAAGTAATCAATAAATAACAAATATCGTTTTATTTTAATTTATATAATTAGGTATATAACATATTTAATAATGACAAACACGTTATGCAGTGATTTTATAAAATAAAAAATATTTCCTAAAGACATCTACCAAAACGATTCCAGCCTAGGCATAGTAGGATCCATATCGGAAAGTAGTGTGCGTCGTAATTAAATAATATTCCATACGCGTCATGGCTTTTCTTCATTGCCACAACGAGAGAGATCGAACAGCATGTCAGCCACGACACGAATTTCGCTATTTGGTCTTTCTGTGATTGCCACAACGCGTCGTGCGCGTTTTCATTAGAGCCATAACACGAATTTCGCCATGTGGATGTTTTACTGTGACCACAACGCATTGTGAGCTATTTTTCCGCTCACTGAACGTTTTCGATCTTTGAGCGTAACATATATATTTCACGTCTGTGGTTTTTAAAGCAAAAAAACCCGCGTATTCAAAATATTTATTAAAATATATGTATTTTTGCAATAGCATCCATTACTCGGTCAACATCTTCGCACTCGTCGTCATTCCCAGTCCTTTCTTAAGCCAGAAACATATTAACGCGTCGTGGCGTGCCGTGACACATCGGTTTCGTACATTTATTATGGAGGTTAGAGAGAGGTTAGAGCGTCGACACGACATGACACATAAATATATCCCTAACCATGGTAAAAGTCTGAAACCGATGTGCTTCTAGCGTGCCACAGCCACAGACTTACAATATAGGAGCAGACGAAACATAAATACGTTTGTGTGAGTTGGTCTTTCCATTTCGTTCGCTCTTAGGGGTTAGTGAATGCTGCTATCCCGTTTCTACACGCATCGCAACACTGTACTTCAGGGCTTGAAACCGGTTTTGAAAGTACCGGTAAATAAAGGTTAATACCGGTTTTTGTTAAAGGGTTCGTACGGAGCTCGTCCGAAAGTCCAAAATGAAAGCGGTACCTAAAACCTTAATAAACCGGTGTAATCCAGAGCAGGGTTGGATTTTGTACTGTAATTATAGTATTTATACTATGATTTCGCCTTTTGATGACTCTACGCCAACTTTTGAAAAAAATGTGAAAGAACGAGACGATGAGAATTTAGAACATTTCATTACTGACTTACTTTCAACACCCTTGGATGAATATACCCATCAAGAAGGGAAGATGCAATATTTTTATTTGTGTTTTCATTTTAAAGAATTCCATGTAGAATAAACCACAGATATATTAAAAAATTAAAACATTGTGATTTATCGGAAAAAATGCGGTTTTAAATTGACAATTTAAATTTTCGCGCGAAAACGAACCTATGGTTGCGATGACGTCACTCCTGTCTGTCACTGGTCGTACTTGTTCGTCGCTGGCTTTAAATTTCCATACTTTTGCATATTTTTTCGACTTTCGAAATATTTTTTATAACAATACCACTAATATTCCGAAAAAAAGTCGTGTTGACTCGTTGACGTGATGTTTTGTGCCAATCTACTTCAACAAAGTTTCCAAATAAATTGTTTTTGACTGGAACTTCTGACCCAAAACTGAAAAAAAAAGTGGTTTCAAGCTGCGAAGAGAAATAACAATTATTCTCCAAAGACCATTATTCGATGCTGTGAAGATCACTTTGACGTAAGTCGGCGAATATACTTGTTATATGGTTAATTAATCTGCTTGTACGTAAAAACGCATTAGTAACCTACCTAATACAA